CTGAAAGATAGCCGAGACACACTTACCTTTTTTTGACAAAGATATAAGCTCCTCCAATAACCACGATTAAAAAGACAGCAAAAATGATTGGAACAATTATGCCTACAAGATTGGTGGGAGCATTCACTAGAGTCAAAGAAAGGGGAGAAAGAAAGAACAGAGTACAATGTAAGACAGGATCTTGGACCCTCCTTCCAATCCATGTTTCATAACATCCAGTGCAATTATTCCTGAAGATTAGCCTGATGTCAGAGCTAATCTTTCCTGGTGTCCACACTCTCTTACAAGATAGGAGAACACACAAAGCACTGGAAGTAGGGATGAGGCCCCAACAATTTCTTCATGCTCCTGCTATCTCCCCCACCCCGCAAATAATTAGAAACTCACAGGGCCAAGAAACATTTATCTTACAATAATCAGAAATGTAAAAGTAGATGGGCTCCGTCCATGACCCATTTCCTGCTAATGAAGTAGCTCGGATGCGCACACTGTAGTTGCCAGGTTGCAGCCCTCGCAGCTTGCAGCCTTGGTCATTGGAGAACTGTCGACGAGATACACAGTAGCGTTGCTCCTAAAGGGTAGATGAGAGATAATTGGGTGTTCTGTTGCTCAAGAGAGGTGCCACATGAACTTAGTAAGAGCTACATGTGTGAAATGTGTTCTGTGCATCCCAAGAAAGGAACTGTGGATGGTTGTGTAATTCAGGATGGATAAATACTGATATGCACTATATCTCACCCCACAACAGAGTTCTAATTTCTCAGGGCTGGGGTCAGGTACAGTCAGAACTAAGAGTGGAGTGTGCATAGTCTCTCTCTCTCTCTCTCTCACTCACTCACTCACACACACACAAACACACACACAGAAACTCAAATACAGCTGTTTCACTAGGAAAAAACTATCGGACTCCAATCCCCCTTTTTCCTGAGATGTTATATAAAAGCATGAAAAAAACAAAAAAACCCAGACAGCACCTCAGGGAAAAAGTGTAAAGGACTGAAGTTTCACCTCTGAGTCTCCAAGGCGACCATAATTCACTTCATAGAGGATGATCAGCCCATTTGGCTCCTTCGGCTCCTGCCACTTTAAGTGGACTGTACTTTTGTCTATTAACACATGAGTCACAGGCCCAACAATATCATCTGCTTTTCCTAACAGACAAAGAGCAGAGAAAAAAAGCCAATCAGTGCAAATTAGCAAGTCTGCTTCATGCTTTGACTTGAGAACATGCTGACTAGATAGGACCCAGCTGGAAAATGCTTCCTCACCTTCTGGCATGGTCCTGGCACTGACATAGGCTGCAACACTGCATACTGTTGGAGCTTCACGGTTACAGGCTTGGATCTCAATCCGATATCCTGTGAAGTGTCGCAAGTTGGATATAACCACTGACTCCTTGAAAACCATCATCTGAAAAGGCTTCGGCTCCTCTGGGATCTCTGGTGCTGTCGTAGAAGTGTTCAGCAAGCCCAGGAAGTGTTCAGCAAACCCAGGAGACACCATGGTGCTATTAGCACGTCTCCCAAGATCCCGCCGCCTCCTTGATCCTTCTGCTGGCCTACAGAATGTACCACATGTGAAGAGTTAAGGGAAGGAATAATTCAATGATACAGGGCAGGACTATTGTGCAGAGGATCCCAGGTTTAAATCCCAGTATTTCCGGTTAAAAAGATAACTCAGCTGAGAGAGCCCTTTCTCTGTCTCAGTCTTTGGAGAGCCGCTACCAACAAGAATAGACGGTAGATAATGAACTGGACAATGGGGTGGCCCAGTTCAGTGGAAGACAGCTAAGTGATGGAGGCAGGCTCAGTGAATGAATGCATGTTCTACCAAAATAATACATTTGCACCTTGGAATTGCAAGACTGGGAAAGCCCCCTTTTTCCAGAGCTGCTGAATCCTGTCTTCACAGAAGTAAGTTTCACATTACTTCTGTGTGTTCTTGGACAGTAATGGAGAGAGGGGATGGAAAGGTAGAAGGAAAGATGACTTCAGACAACTTCTCCAGCTATTATTCTTTGCAAAAAGTTACATTTAATTCTCTACATACATATGTATCTTTCATGCTATTCCCTTTTGGGGTAAACAATGTTATGTAAAGGGTAGAAAGGAAGTTAGAAATAGTAGCCAAAGAAACTAAAAGGAAATAGCTAAATCTAGTTTCTATTAACATCATTCACTCTATCTCTCCATACCATTCTATCCTTGCAAATTATCCTTGCTTCTACCATAGTCATACATACCCTGTCTTTTATTCTTTACACTTCTCAATTCTGTGTTTCAGAGGACCTTATCAGCTCTGCCTAACCATGACTTTCTCTGGGATTCTTTTCCTTTCCACCCATTCATCCTTCCTTTATGTATTCATTTTGCAACTTAATGCTCATTCATGGCCAAACCACTTCAAGGTACTTCATTGGTACTGGTCCCTCACTTTGTACTCAATCCATGTTTATTCAGCACCCATTTCTTCTTGACCCTATCTCTTGTTTTACCATGCGTACTCCTTAAAGATTCCCATTCCTATTGCACTGAAGTTGTTTTGAAGTTTTTCTGACATAACTCTCACTTCCATACAACAAAATAAAGCCGTTCTTAGACACAACTATTTTTGCTTCTTTCAACATTCATTTTTCACAACAGACCATACATTATCCATTACTTTTCTCCCAGTATTTGCACATCTTCATAGTTTTTTATCCAATTTCCCATCTTTAACAAGCAGTACCAAGGGATACAAATTGATCTGTTTGCTCCAGTCTGGGGCCATTTATGTATAATGTGCAATCATTCAATGCATATTCCCTGTCAAACCCAACGACAGTAATACCTCGGTTCACAAACGCTTCTGTTCACGAACAATTTGGTTCGCGAACAGCAGTGTTCCCAAATTTTTGCTTCCGTTCACGAAATCCGCATTGGGTGACGAACATGACCCGCGGCCATCTTCCCTGCTCTGACATGTGGTCATGGCTTCCTCTAGGTGAGATCGCAGTCGCAGACAGACACT